GCATCTGGCGCAAGCCAATTTGGGTCTGAGTGAGATTTGACTGTTCTCGTCTCCGCATGATGGTACGGTCGATGATCTTCATCAGATTGTCGTACGATCGGTCTTCATGATTGTAGGGCAAGTGTTCGTAGTGCATGCCCAACTCCATCTTCATTGCGGGCGAGTCTTTGATCTTGCTGTACAAGCAATCACGGAGAGCTGTTTTGGATGGTATGTCTTCTGGCCTCATCCGTCCCAGAACTTCCAACCACGTCTGCTTGAATGTATGAAGTTTGTTGTCGCCTTGGTACTGGAGCTTCACCAGATACTCGAGAGTGATGATCATGTCGAGACGATCATGCGTTCGAAAACTTTCATACATCATCGCAATGATTTGTCGTCCTTTGATGATCTTCCCTTCGGGCCTGCTGATGTAATCGTTGGCCTTCCGGTTTACCTCCAGGTACAGATCAGCAGATTTGTCACCACCAGCGCGTAGCATTGCGACCATAGCGATCCCCAGTTTGACGTCTACGCTCTTGAACTTCTTGTGTCCTGAATCGTTCAGTGCTTCGACATCAGGGAATGGGTTGAATGCTGGTGCCAGCCATAACATCCAGTCCTCATGATTTGGATCGGCTGATGCTCCTAAGACATTCGCCGTGCATACGGATCGCCAGTTGTTGAGGTGAGTGAGAGTAGGCCATGGAGGAACGGTCACTTTGTCGGCCTCCCTCCTGGAAATTCTCACCTCCGTGACTTCAGGATCTGCGTCTCCATCAGGATCACGCGCATGAGAGCCAGGATCCGATTCAGGTTTGCCTCCACCGCTTCTCTTCTTATCATCATCATCATCAGGCGGGTCTGGAGGGTCATACCCCGTGCCGGTTCCTTCATCATGCTCTCCCTCTTCATTCTCGTCGCCAGCTTCGTCACCGTCATCGTCTCCATTATCCTCCTGAATCGTTTCAGCGAATAATCTCCACTCATCACGATCAGCTCTGAGACGCTGTTCGGCTTTCTGGGCCTTGAGTACTTCGCTTCGCAGATCGGCAATCTTCTCCTCGTACCGTTCCGCGACCTCTTTCTCGATCTGACGTCTCCTTGCTTCATGAATGGAATCGTCATAGGCAATAGGGGGACCAATGAGGTCGTTGCCCTTCGTAGATGCGGTGATGCCGTCGACACCAACAGGTCTTGAGGAGCTGGCAGATGCTGTGGACTTCGATCCCAACATCCCGCGATCCTCCAAGAGTTCGCGTAGCTGTCGATCACGCACGGCTGCCGCATCACTTTTCCCATGAAATCCGCTTGGTATGCCAAACAGAGTGGCTGCACTAGGCGTGGAACGCGCAAGTGCTGGGCTGCTAATACCTGGCACGTAGTGCTCGGGCATTGCATCCGTCACAATTGGCATTGAGTTGCGGCCAGTAAAGAAGTTTCCACCGGTAAATGGAATTCCATCCATCACAAGGTTCTTGTCCTTGTCCGATTCCGAGAATGCGAACTTCTCTTTGGCGACTGGACTAACTTGACTTGGGGACCGTATTTCAGGGGATCGTACCTCACCTCCTACGGAAAATGCAGGCACTACTTCCTTTCCTACGTGCTCCCAGCCAGACTCAGTAGTCCTCGAAGACATGGGCATGCTCGAAGGCCGTGTCGCTCCGCCATAGTTGGAGTTCCGCGCTGCCTCCAATTCGCTGCGTGTCCTCGCTTGGAGATCTTCTTGTGCTTTGAGTGTTTTCCTGAGTTCACTCAGCTCGTCGTGCAAGGTAGGCAGTGCTCGCCTTGCATGATCTTCATTCTGATGAAGTCGGTCCTCTGCATCTTGCATCCTCCTCACAGCCATTTTGCGGTACTCTTCCTCTTCACCAAGACGTTCGCGAAGCCGAAGTCGTTCTTGATCAATGGCTGCGCTGTTTCCAGCTAGCCCTTGGATCTCGTTCACGGCCCGCAACTCCTGGTTCTTGACCAAGTGGAATCGTTCCTGCATTGCTTGTAAGGCTTGTTCCGAACTTGCTGTGTTCGACCGGAGGAACAAGTTCTCTCTGGCATGTTCATGAAGTTCATGAGTCAGACGCTCATACTCACGTGCCATAAGCTCACCATCGCCTTGCGCTCTTGCCTCCAACTGCACAAAGTTAGTGGCTGCTTCCGTGCGGAACACGTGTAGCTGTTGAGCTAACTCCTCGGCAACGGCATGTGCTTGACGTTGTTGAGCAGAGTTCTGTTCATCCATGCGAAACAAAGCTGTTTCATAGTCTCGCTTCATCTCCTGATTGACATTGTTGATGTGCCTCATGGCTAAGCATGCATGGTCACGTTGTCGTTCCAATTCTTCAATGCGAATTCCAGATCCTTCATCTTCTTGTTGCATCTCCTTGATCTTGTCCATCAGGGTCTGGACAACTCCTTCGTACTCTTGCATCTGACTGCGATAGTACATCTGCTGCGCAAGGTTCGATGCTTCGAACTGTTGCGAAATCGTCAGCTCCTGATAAGCATTCGGACCATCGGCTATGGCTGGCGTGGCCACCGATGACGCATCACCACGTGCTGGAATAGTGTCCAGAGTCATATCCAGATCGTCAGCATCGCGTGGTTGGTTGGTAACCATCCGATTCCAAGTCATGGACTTGTCACGCCCACGAGTAACCGAAGTCCTTGATCGTGCTGAAGAGCTTCTCGAAGATGATGGTCTTGACTTCTTTTCCAAGGTCTTCACTCCTTTGTCCTTGGCCCTGGACGTAGTCCGAGGTGCCTGAAAACCAGACGCTTCGGCTCGTCGTTCTGGAGCCTTGCCCGTCCTCGAACCTGTGGATGTCGGACGCGAAGGCGTAGATGCTCTTGGTAGACTCTTTGCTTTCACCTTGGGAACTGCCTTTGCAATGGCAAGCGCAGAAGATTGACCTTTGTCATCTTCCGTGGAGCTATCAACGGATTGCACCACTGTGTCATCAGCTGTTGATTCACCAACGGCTGGCGCTGCCACATCGGCACCGAAAGTCATTGTCGTATCTTGGCTTGATCCCGAGTTCATTGTGGTCGTAGTAGATCAAGTAGTCGTTGCTGTAGAAAGGCAGAGCCGCGTACGGCTGATAACCTGCGTGGGGGATTGATCTCGACTAGGTTGCTGCTCTCCCCACCAGAGCTGTAATGAATGTAGGTGTGGCTGGCTTGCACTCTCCACAGACTGGACCCTGTCTCTCTCTCACTTCCACACGTGCAATCCTATGCAGGCAGAACCGGCGGCCGTTCCTTTTGCACTCACTGCCGGCGGCGGTTCGTCTGTGCAACGGGATAGCTCTGATTGCTCAGGATAGAAGACACTTATAGCACTTAGCTATGGGCATTGACTTGAGCCAAACGTTGCGTGGGCGGTCACATAGAAAGGTAAAGACGAGGGACGCGTAGCGTGCCCCCTTAGAGTCGAGGGACGCGTAGCGTGCCCCCTTCTCTTGCACTTTACACGGTCATGCTCACAGCTCTTATAGTGACACCTTAGAACTTGACAAGGCATCGCAGTCCGTTCGCACTCAAATAAGGGACCCTAAATGAGAACTATGCCAATTCAGCCCCCGAATTACCGGCCGGGGCCTTTGACCAGGCGCGAGCCAATTCACGCAGCAGCCAAGGCTTGGATGCTCCCGAGCCTTCCCACTTTTTCAGGGCTTTCGGGATTTAGGTCCCTAAACCCTAAACCCTAAACTAAACCCGGGCCTTGGGGCTTTGGGGCTTGTGAGTTTAGGGTGAGTTAGGGTTTTGGTGATCTAGGGTTTAGGATCTTAAGCTTTAGAAGGCCCAGGGTTTAGCGGCTTTTTTAATGGGGCCCCAGACCGGAACTAGCACCGAACCACTAGGATCCCAGCTTTGGTGCATTGTTTAGGTTCGAGGACTTTATGTTAAATGTCAGCCTGTCGCATGCTTGTCTTGCTATCAGTGTTTGATAGGATTATTCAAGGTTTGGGCTTTAGGACTTCTATAGGTTGGGCTTGTTTAAGATCTTAATCGGATTTGCCACATTACAGAAACCATATTGTTTTTATTATAGATTCTTTTCATGGAAGCTTGAATAAAGTTCCTTAACAAAACCCAGTCTAGGTTGGGCTTGCCTACACTATATATGTCTTTCTTTAGACCAGCCAGCAGGCTCTGTGCGATTCGCTACGGTTGGCCATGAGGACTATTAGGTTACTACCTGCGTAATCTGGCCTGACAGACGAAAGACAGACTTAATACCCAAAGGCCCCAAAGTAGTTCCTTTTTGGGATTTCCTTATAGAATTCTCAATAGGAACCCCAAAAAGGAACTACTTCGGGGCCTCTGGGTATAGCAAAGAATCACAGCTTTTCAGCTGTAGGCTCATGTGAGCATTACAGTAGAAGCCAGAAAGTTGGAATATCATTATCGTAACCCCTTTAAGGTAAATTATAGGGGATCCTTCCATTAATCCATATTCCAACTTTCTGGAGTTCCCTTTAAGCGCTCACGCCGTCTGCAACCGTGGCCTGGTCTTCACTAGCCATCCAAGGTCCAAAAGCAGCACGGTGTCCTAGTATTGCCTTCGTCCTCTTCGAATCTCCAGTTATAAATACTTATAGCCCCAATTAAGGTACTTATAACCCTACTTACCAGCCCCAATTCGGGCCTTTATAACCCTACTTACTAAGTCCAGACCACGGTTGTCAAGCAGGTTCGAGCTGCACGGGTAGCTCGATGACAACTCGATGGCCATGCGGAAGTGACAGTTCAAGGCCTTCCCGGCAAGTTCACTTCATATCCAGAGGCCCCAAAGTAGTTCCTTTTTGGGGTTCATATACACAACCCTATAAGGTAATCCCAAAAAAGAACTACTTTGGGGCCTCTGGGTAGCAATCACCATACAACAAATCACTGGCAGCTTCCGCCAGATCGCGGTGGCTGCCTCCTACACTCTCCTTCGTCGTTTGCACTGGTAACTGTCATATTTATAAGTGGCTCCAATGTAGTTAACTACCGGAGCTTTCTCCAATCTTTCATCAGACATCCGGACTCAAAAGATCACCGTAGGGGCCTGTATGATTCGAAGAGGATTTTGGGGTATATTAACCTATAGTTACAATAAGGAACCCCCGAACTAGTATTGGTAATTATTACGGCCCCTATAGTAAGTCTCCACTGTAGATTCTATGTTGGCTTAGCACCTTTTGTACTTAGGATCTTGTAAGGTAACCCATAAAGGAAGTAAGTACAATGAAGACCGCGGGTTAGCTCTAAACTATGCAGACTGCTGAGTTGGAGGAAGCCTTGAGCAATGCCTGCACAACTTACACGACGCAGAGGATCAGGGGGTGTAGTAATCAGTGTCATAAGTACCAGGATGCCTGAACTGGGAGAAGTACAGTAAATCACTACTATGGATACCTTGGTATATAGGGATTGTGGTACACAAAAATGGTAAATCTAAGGCTACCTAACTACTCTACTACTGGGTAACCCGACCTTTGAAAGCCCACTGCTCTGGCTGATTCAGGTACGTTTATCTGCTGGAGCACCCTAAACCCTAAACCCTAAACCCTAAACCCCTAAATCCCTAAACGAGCTTCGCGGCCGGTGGGTTGCTTGGTCGGGGCCCTGGGTGGCTTTTACTTCTTTCGAAGCTGGCCTTGGGTGCTGAGGTGGGTTTGCTTCAACAAAACCTGCTTTAAGGCCCTTGCCCAACAAACCTGCAGGAAGACCGTCCCGTACAACCCAACCCCCCACCCCCCACCAAACCCAAACCAAAAACCCTCCGAAAGCCCTCTACCTCTAAACCCCTTACCACTAAAGCCTGGAGCCCGATCCCCTAAACCGCAAACCCTTTACCCTAAAACCCCCAAACCCTAAACCCCAAACCCTTTAGCCTAGACCCTTAACTGCACCCTAAACCCCAAACCGTAAACCCTTTACCCTAAACCCTAAAAGCGAAACCCTTTACCATGCTCCTTCCCGGTTGCCTTCAGCTGCCGGCCAGTCCAGCTGTGCCAGAGCCCGAATCTCAGCTGCACGCCTTCGTCATAGTGTAGGCTCCCTTTACTCTCTTCTTCAATAGCCGGACCCCCAAAAAGGTCAAACTTTCGAAGAATTCAAAAGATCTACCATGTCTAGCTACGTTTATGATCTCGATTTACTTTTTGCTAGTACACCATATGCAGTGGAAGCACTAACTTTCAAAAATATCTGTGGCTTGCGGAAAACCGCCAACCATGAACCCTAAACCCTGTAAGCCCTAGATCTTAAAGCTAAATCCCAAATCCTAGACCCTAAACAAGCCTAGGCCAAAAGTTGGAAAACTTGGCTTTTGGACCAATAAGTATGTCTAACGACTGGGGTTTGAGCTTCCGGCGGCTCCAAGACGATGGTCTCCCACTTGGGAGAAAATGCGCGTACTCTTTTTGCAAGAAATATACACCTATTAAGAGTTGATTTTAGGGTTCAAGGGTTGGGGCTTAGGGTTGTAATTCTTAGTTACTGTTGAGTTCATAGGCCCTAGGCCCAAATCGATGAAGACGGCAGTCTTGGGCCTCTCACGCGTCTCCTGAAGCCACTGGTCCACCTGCATGTCCGCAGCTTGATGCAACTCTCTGCTACCGTATGGATCTGCCGAAAAATAGCGTGCAGCTTGTAAGTATACATATACATACATGCATACATCTGTAATGCATAAGGGATTGAGAAAATCAAAGGGCTTCGTCATTTTATTCGTGCAGTAAACGTTTAACCTTGAACCCCACACCGATGGAGCCCTAAACCTGCCTACATGATGTCTTACGACCTTTTCAATTTTGACACTCAGCCTATGCCCACTCACTGTGTTGAAATGTAATGCGATGTAGCTGCTTCACGACGCACGACATGTGCCGACGCGACGAGCCTAGGTTTTGCTTCAGGGTTTGAGGGTTTGGACCAGGTGTTAGTAGGGTTTCAGATTTAGCAGGTGTGAGCAGCTTTTGGTTTTGGTGGCCTCTTAGCATGTCTGCACACTAAACCCTAAACCCTAAAACCGTAAACCAGGCTCGCCGTACAAGAAGAAGATTGAAGCTACGACGGCTCGGGGCGGCAACCGTTAGTTCTGTATCTTTCTGCTTAGGGTTTAGGTGCTTTAGGTGCTTTAGAACGGCCCTTTTCAAGACTGGTGGAAGCTGCCGTAATCCCGACTCTGGAGAGCTATGATTGCACTCGAGGTTCAGGGCTTCATAAAACGGTTTTACAGAATTGCTCGTGTTGTTTCGGTTTAGAGTTTAGGGTTTAGGGTTTAGGGTTTAGGGTTTCGGCTCAAACCCTGACCGAGTTAAGCAGATAAACCTGTCCAAGAACCTAACCACGCCTGGGCCGAACACACCCCCAACCCATAGGCTCATCTCACCTGGGCTACCCGAAAACCGAATTAGACTTCGGACTCTAGGCCTTAGACCCTAAACCTAAAACCCTGGACCCCAGACCCCGAACCCTGAACCTTAACAGTACATGACATGTTCACCGTGCCTCGGCAAGAAGCCGTGCCAAGCGAACCTCAGAGTTGCAAACTGGAGCATCAATACCTTACTGTACTCCGATTGGTCAGGGCCCTAAACCTTACAAGCCCTAAACCCGTAAACCATAAACCCCAAGCCCTAATTACGAGCCCTAGGGCTTCAAGCCATTGGGGCTTATAAGGTTCAAGGCGATTCAAGTACGGCACTTTAAAACCCAAGATGGACCCTAACTCACAGAACTACCCACATCATGCTCCAATGTCCCATACTCTCCAAGACTTGGGCATTCGAGGAAAATGTGCATAGTGTACCAGGGATACCTAACATTTTAAGGACGTACCAGGTCTTCGTGGCCCCCACAAAAAAACACACCCAAAACCCCAAACCCCAAACCCTCAACCCTAAACCCCTAAACTCCAAAACCCTGAAACCCTAAACCCTAAACTCCAAAACCCTAAAGCCCTAAACCCTAAACCCCTGTCTCGGGAGTGCTCCTGGCCGAAGCCGGCAAGGTAAGCGGAGCCAAACTGTCGCACAGCGTGCGCTACCGCTAAAGTCCCTTCAAACGGTGTCATAAGGGCCCCTTTAAGGGTTACCATGGGGGCCTTCATTATTAGAATAGGGTTTTGGGGTATATTATACTATAACTTCTTATAATGATATGAGCCTCAGCTCCGGACAGCTCGGTGGTTCTGCTGTTTGCTGCTTGCGTGGTTCAGGGTCTAGGGCTCTGGGCGGACCTTTGATGTTCAGGGTTTAGGGCTCTGGGCTGGCCGTTTAAACTTCAGGGCTCTGAGCTGGCCTGTAGGGCTCATACGTTGGATGATAAATCCTGCATGACCTTAAGGACCCTAAACTATGGGAATTGTGGTACATTCCTTATTATGGGAAATGCAGGATTTATATCATCAGCAGTAGTTTAGGACTCCGGTCCGGCCTTTGGGGTTCAGGGTTTAGGGCACGGGGCTGGCCTTTAGGGTTCCGGGGCGGGTCGGATTGTTGAAGCCTGGAGCCAGAGTAAAACACACAATGTATGATTGATGTCAGCTTTGTTGGCCGAGAGGCAAGATGGAAACCAGTTCTGTGGAGAACAGGAGGGTTTTGTTGGTGTTAAGTTGGGGATTGCTTAGTTTGGGTGGGTGGGTGTTATATCAAAACCGTAATCACAACTTTACTATAGCATTGCTCGATCCGGAGCTGCTGGACTCAAATCCTAAACCCTGAACCCCGAACCATAGACTTAAGATAGATATAATATCTATCTTAAGTCTATGGTTTGGGGTTTAAGGGTTTGAGATATTATAACAATTCAGAATACCATTGTTCTGACCACCCAAGGCACGGTGAGGCCACAGCCACTTGAGGCCAGGCAAGCAGGCTCCCCGTTGGGCTGCTTCCAGCGCCTGGGGAGACTTGAGGGCTTTTGGATTTTAGGAGTTTCGGGTTTAGGGGTTACGGGTTTAGGGGTTTAGGGGAGTTTAGGGGTTTAGGGGTTTAGGGGTTAGGGCTTAGGGCTTTAGGGTTTAGGGGCCGCAAGGTTACCAGACCTGCGGCCAACAAAACTAATAACAAGCTTCAAACTCCGAGAAAAAACCATAAGCAACCTGTAGGTTGAGGCCCCTCCTGAAACTGGTAGTTCCTGCCCTAAAATCCTAAACCCGAAAACCTAAAAGATTGAGGCCCCTCCTGAAACTAGTAGTTCCTGCCCTAAAACCCTAAACCCTAAAAGGTTGAGGCCCCTCCTGAAACTAGTAGTTCTGATAGTCCTCTGATGTCCTCTGGCTTCATATCAGAGCAAACAGCCCCCAGGAGACCGACAATGGGGTCGGGGCTTTAGGATGTTTTTAAGTTTGTTTCCTGGGTTTAAGGACTCAGGGCTTAGGGATTTCAGGTCTATAGGGTTCATATAGGAGTTTCCGAAAACAGGGGAACCTAATATAGTACCCCAAATAATAGGATCCTTATTATAAGAACCCCAAAATAAGGTACCCCTAGTTTTCGGAAACCCCCATATAGCTTTTTTGTTTAGGGACTGAGCGTCTAGGGTTAACCAAACTTCCAACAAGCTTTGTTCATGAACCTGCGACATATGAATGCATATGCCTCCGAAACCCTACTAAAAGAGCCTGACCTTAAATCCTAAACCCTGCGATCAAAGACTTCCTAGATAAAATATACAGACTTCTGTAATATACTTTTTTTGCGACTTCTATGCTGGAGCTTTTTGTCTGGAACCCCTGAGCAATGGTATTAGTCATGAATGCGGGGCCCGCGCCTGCTGTCGGCGAGGGCAAAGACCGACCAGATGCTGCCATAGCTACCTGAAGGGCATCTTATTCAGGGTTTAGGGCTACGGGTTTGGGAAAAGCGGCACTCCGGTCAGTCACAGCGATATTGACACTATTGACTATTGCCACCATCATATCATTGTCGTCGTCGTCATGACAATCGTCATCGTCATCACTTCGATGGTCAACAGACATCCTCGACAGGCCATCACCACCATAGCCTCGTCACCACCATCACCATCATCACCACCACCATCAACATCATGGTAATCATCCTCTTCATTTTCGTCATCACCACTACCACAATCAGCAGCATCAGAGTCAGCATCAGCAGCTGCATTAGCATTACCATCATCATCATCATCATCATCATCCGCATCATCATCATCATCATCGTCATCATCGCCTTCGTCGAAATCATGATGACGATGATGATGATCATCATCACCATCATGGTCGCCCTCACCCTCATCATCATGGCCACATTTATCATTGCCTCATCTTTAACACGGCCATCACCATCACCAACCTCAGCACCCCTACCATCACAGTATCATCATCACCAAGCATCACTTTCAGCATAAACACAACCTTCATGAGCGTCACCATCAACTTGCTCTAAATCCAAAACAACGGCTAAGAGATGGAGTAAATGTACTAGCAGACACTCCGTGTGAACGGCTCTCTTCTCATGCGCAGCCTTACCCCAGCTACATGTTGTGTTCACACAACCGCACACCTACGGTTGATGATATAAATCCTGCATTACCTTAAGGACCCTAAACTATCGGAAGTATGGTACATTCCTTATTATGGGTAATGCAGGATTTATATCATCAACCGTAGTGATGTGTAGGAGTAAAGGTGCGGGCCGCTCCGGGCCTGCAGTCCGTCTCCAGGTGTAATGGGAGCTTCCGAAAATTGGGGGTACCTTATTTAAGGGTCCTTTAAGGGTTCCTTAAAGGGTACTATAAGGGTCTTTTAAAGGGCTTAAGCAGGGTTTAGGGTTTCCGAAAATTGGGGGCACCTTATTTAGGGGTCCTTATAATAAGGATCCTAGCTTTTTGGGTACTATACTAGGGTTCCCTATTTTCGGAAATTCCCTAATGGCCCCAACAATGCGTACAAGTGCTTTGACATCATCATCTTGTGTATGTAGATAGTGTTCTCAAGTGCTCTGGCACATTATTCATGCATCGGAAGACAATGCTAAAATAACATAATACAATCTAACAGAACACGACCAAACATGAGAGAGAGAGAGAGAGGAAAACTGTGCGCAACGGAACATGACATCAGCCAGCCATTGCGTGCTGACTCAAGCAAACTGCGCCCAGGCCCCAGAATGAACCCCCTTTGCCCTACTTAACATCCCACACCGACAGAATAGTTGTAAACTGAGAGCACCAGATCTCAACACATCCAAGACCATACCCAGAGGCCCCAAAGTAGTTCCTTTTTGGGGTTCATATGTAGAACCCTACACGGAAATCCCAAAAAAGGAACTACTTTGGGGCCTCTGGGTAGATACATGCTAGACTCTAAACCGTGAGAGCGCACTTCTGCGTTCCAAATCCATCGTCCTACCAAGTACATAGTCGGAAGCAGTCTCCCGGGGCGCCGCACCGAACACTCGGTGGTCCGTGCTGAAGAGTTCGGAGTTGTGCCAGGGATCTGACAGAAGCTTCATATCATTTCTAAATAATACTGATACGGATACTGATACAGATAACGAATCTGAAAATACTAAATAATATTACTACAAATAATGACAATAATAAGAAGGGCTGCGATGGTGGGAGAGGCCCGGGTTTAGGGAAAAGCCGGCCGCTGCTCCGACCAGCACAACTTCTACCACCAGCATCATCACTCTCAACCATCATTACAGGGTTTAGGGTTTAGGGGAGAGATCAGTCACTAAGATGGGTACCCGACAATTAATATTCATATGTCCTATATCCTGAAACCCGAAACCCTGCCGTAGGCTGAAACCTATAACTGTGCATGCAAAAACAATGCAACCCTAAAGCCCTGCATAACAGAACTAGAAGTTGTTAAGCCCCTGGATTGTTTCAAAGCGGAAAAGGAGGGACCCTTAATGGCCCCTCCCCTATAATGGGCTATAATAAAATGGGTTTATAATAGCTACATTAAGGGTGTATACTTAGGGGTCCTTATTAAGGGTCCCTCCTTTTACCCTTGGATTGTTTAAACAAAGCTTACAAAGCCCCTATGCCTTGGACCGCCAGAGCAAACGAAAAAGGGAACGTCGAGCGGTCCGAAAGCCATTCCTACGGTTGATGATATAAATTCCTGCATGACCCATAACAAGTAATATACCATAATTCCCATAGTTTAGGGTCCTTAAGGTAATGCAGGATTTGTATCATGAGCCGTACTTGTCGGGTATCATGGGGAACTCAAGGTTAACCCTTTTGGTTATATAGGGATTATATAGGGACAATACTACCCACAAAAAATGGTTAAAGGATACCTACTCTACTACTTGAACACCCCACAAAGGCTTCCCGTCCTGCACGCTTGCACGTTGGAAGGCTCATGCTGGCAGTCCGGGTGCTGTGCTTCCTGACTATAAAGTTGATATGGTACCCATTCGGATGATCCCGACCTCCCCCCCCCTCAACAATAACAAGCAACCCTAAACCTTAAACCCCTAAACTCCCAAAACCCTAAACCCCTAAACCCCTGAACCCCTGAACCCCTAAACCCTAAACCGAACAACCCCCTATAACCTCCCCCCCGCCCCCTCAGCCTTCCCCGGCCACCCAGCGGCTGAACGGAAGCCGCCGAAGAGGCTCCGTGGCCCTTGGGAGTCGCGATCGTGATGGTGGTGGTGACGATGAGGGTGATGTTGACGAGGTTTCAGGGTGTAGGGTTTTATAAAGGGTTTAGGGTTTAATTAGGGCTTAGGGTTGAGGGTTTAGGATTGAGGGTGATGTTGATGATGGTGATGATGATGGTGGTGGTGATGATGATGCTAATGGCTGAGATACTCTTACGGTGTGCTCTACCATACTTCAAGCAGCTGTCAAAACTTAAACTCTTCACCCTAATCCCATAAGCGAATGCAGACTGGATGATGCCTCTGAAGCACTGCAAGGGCTGAACATAAACAGCACAGTAAATCCCGAACCACAAGTCCGACACACTAAGCCCTTAACCCTAGCATGGACCTTAAAGAACCTACCTCGACAGGGTAGTTTAGTCTGATTTCCATGTACAGGTCCTTGAAAAGATAGCTGGGCTTGAGTTCCAGCTATAACTTATGACTCTTAATTGAAACTTGTAGAATCCCTGTATTGCCCTAGCAAAGTTTATTGAAGCCACATTACAAAACACCGTCTGCACCCTGAGCCCGCTGAACGCGAAACCGAGACTTCGGGACTAAGCAGAGCGCGCTGCGAGCGTGGTCTCGGACAGAATATCCGGATCCAGCAACAGCTCCTGTGGAGAAGCACATAATGGACGGGATTATGAGATAAAAAATAAATGAAAAAAGATGAATAAATAAACATATATATATATATACACATATATAAACATACAGATATATATATATATATATAAACATATATATATATATATACACATATATAGACATACAGATATATATATATATATATATATATAAACATATATATATATATATATATATATACATATACATATACATATGCATATACATATGCATATACATATACATATACATATACATTTACATATACATATACATATACATATACATATACATATATACATATATACATATATACATATATACATATTTACATATATACATATATACATATATACATATATACATATATACATATATACATATATACATATATACATATACATACAGACATACACAAGCTTGTATGCTTTCTTCCAGAGTACAGAGGCTTGGTGCAGTTGTTACGTGGCTTGGCCTTGGAGTGAAGGAGTTACAGCAAACTCTACTAAGTTGACACATGTGCTTAAAGGAACATGGGACTTAGTAACTATGGTTATAATTAGGGTTATAATTAGGGTAACTATACTTATAATCCCAATTAGGGTACTTATAACCTTACTTGCCAAGTCCCATGATCCTCCAAGTGCCTGGTGTGTGTTTACCGTTCCTCTCTGTATCTCTTCTTCCGCCGGGCATGAGGGGCTGTTAAGACCCCTCGGCCACTAGGGCCCCCCCATATTTTGTGGGGACTTTGGAGGAGTGTGAAAGTGTTTTGTAGTTAGTTTCCCCAGGGAAGATCATCTTTCTGAACAGCAATTCACAACGCTCTGTATCTCTCTCCCCCTCTGTCTCTCAAAATCCCTGTGCAGGACCCTGACCCCGTAAGTCCCAACCCCAGGCCCAGACCCCCAGCCGCAAGGTCATTGTCACAGTATGTTAACCCTAAGCCCTAAACCCTAAACTTGGGTTGCTAGTAGCTAGACACAGGCTACGCATGTAGCTGCTGACTTATGCTGACCCCCCAGACCCCCCAAGTATCCTCACGTCTGCGCTAGGGACATGGAACACCACATTCAATCAGGGCTGATGGTTTCGAGGTGAGGCTTTCTGGGTCCAGCAATCAGAAGATTCAGTCACCGCACACTCTCTCATTAAACCCATGTGTAGTTCTCCAAACCAAGGTTTTTCTTAAGATCCGGTTCATACGAGTGCCGTACTACTTTTTGCGATCTTAGCAGGGAAGCGAACTTAGAGATCTACCCCCGTACCTCCCTCGCCCTGAACTCTCTTTATCTCAGCGGATGAGGCGCGATGTGTCTGGCGGCCCCCTTCTTAGCAGCACCGGGGAGCACTTGGGAAGCATCTCTACCTAGCATGCGCAAGAACCTAGGAATAAACAGGTCTCCTCAAGTCTCAAAGAGCGGTCATGTCATAGAGGGGAGCCGGATTAGCTGAACTTAAGAAGAATCTTCTGGATTTCCAGAATGATAGACCTGGCATCGTTGGCCTCGAATAAAAAAGCTCTCCCGTTTTGGTTTTGGATAGTTTTGCAAGGAACCCAAGGCCACAAAAAGGGCAGAAGGGCCCACTGCGAGACCTAGTTACGAGTCGCAAGGAGAGGTCTCACACCCGGGGAATGAGCTTACACATAGGCCCCATAGTAGTTCCTTTTTAGGATTACCTTATAGGATTCTACATATGAGCCCCAAAAAAGAACTACTATGGGGCCTATGGCTAATTACGACTCGACTCGAAGACCTGAGGAGTCAACTAATGCAGGGGTTTTAATGATTAGAATAGGGCTTTGGGGCCAACTATACTACGATTATAAGGAACCCCCAAACTAGTATAGGTAATTATTCAAACCCCTATACTAAAACTTCATGGAACTGCAACACTGCCCGAAGTGCGGTATTGGAGATAGAAGGATCTGCAAAATGTTGCGAGAATTACGGTTTGGGAGCTCAGCGCTTCGTGCTGAAATTGAATCCCCACGCCCGAAAAAGCCAAAGTTTACACCATCTATCATACAGGCAAGTGGACCCGTAAAGAATTGCAGTAACACCCTGGCAGCAAAGTCAACTGGAAGACTGCTCCTGCGAATGCTATAGCTAATGAGCACAGTGTGAAGCCCATGCTGCATCACACGTGCAAAGACCCGAAAATAACCTTCCTTGCAGAAGCTTCCAAGCAATATAAACTCTAAACCCTAAAGCCCTATAAACCCTTGTATAAGAAATACAAACAATATAGGTGTGTGTTCCCAAGCGGCGCCCAATAACTGCTCGGAGCGCGGCGACGCTCGAAAATTCAGCAAGGGGCCCGTGATGGCCGGAAAGCCGAAAGCACTATACAAAGAGCTCTTGTCACTGTTGAGGACTCGGTTTAGGGCTTAGCTTCGGGTTTAGAGTCTAGTCGTCCAAGCTCGGCACTGAATGCCATCGAACCCCCCCGTTGCATTAGGGCTTTGGGGTTCAGATCAGGGGGGCATAACTTGTGATGGGACCTTCTTAACTTTCCCCTATACCTCCAGGGACCTTATTATGGGGTCCTTAAGGGGTCTAGGGCCCTAACTATGAGGTCCTTGTAGGGATAGGGTTCTCCTTTGGGTAAAGCCCCCCCCCTGTTCGAATGCTGTGTGTACGTAGAGGGAACCCTGGGATGACCTAGATGAGAGTTTCCGAAAATAGGGGACCTTAATATAGTACCCTAAATAATAGGATCCTTATTATACAGACCCCAAAAATGAGGTACCCCCTATTTTCGGAAACTCCCAGATGCCAGCACTACAGTTCTATGCATTCCATAGCCCTAATGATCCATGCATCTATATGGCATAGACTTTAGACTTACAGGGGTTCCGATGAATCTACGATTCAGGCCACAGCACATACCATATCGGTACATGGACCATTTGGGCAACATAGAATATAACTTAATATAGCATATCTTCGATTCGCTTGCAGCAGGCAGCCCTCCACCTTTCCTGCTGCAATCGTGCTAGTCGTGCACTCCAGATGTTCACGATAGGGTATCCAGCAGCTGCTGCCAATTCGGGTTCGCGTAGTGGTGCAGCTAAGTATCCATAGGTCAGTACAATGCGAACCCCAGGCAACCCTCTACTTGAGTTTAAACGTTGCGTCGAGTGAAAACGACACGAATCCGGACAGTGACGGCTCGCGAAGAAAAGCTGTTCAAAACTTGAAGCTACAATGGAGCTGCGCCTTTTCATGTTTAGACAGTGTCAGGTCTTGATACTTTGGGTTTGGGGCTTACAGGATGTGAGCATGTCAATTGTCAACGGAAAGGCTTCGGCGAAAATCTGTTGCAATACCTGCAAGACCCCACATGAAAATGATTCCGGCTTTTTGGTGTGTGCTTTCTTTCGGCGGCTGTGGGCCGCCGATTTGCGATGTAGGGCCCAAACCCTAAACCCTAGACCCTCATATGCCTGCTCTGACGACCTTGCAACAGCTCTATCTCAAACCATTAGGCCCTAGTGTCTTCTCCGAGCCATGGCGCCCTCATATCAAGAGAGGAGATGTTTCATATAGCATAGAACAGATTCCTTGGTGTAGCAACCTCCACCAGCAGATCTCCGATTCCGAGAACCTCTTCTGATATCCGAACATCTAAGCGATATATATACATATATATATACACACATATATACATATAGAACTATATATATATATATATGGCTGTATATTATGTGTGTATCTACATATATGCATATACATACCGTGCCCAAACATGAAAACTCAAAAGGCGCAGCTCGAGTTGAGACCTCTCGGGTCATCCTGCACTAGGCATCAAGGCCTTCTATGGCGAAACGATGATCTGTACCAGCCTCCCCTAGAAGACGGGAGGCCTTCGCGACTTCTCGAACGCTACTTTTTGGGGTTTATGCTTTAGCTTCAGCTAAGTGGCCTAACCCATGGGCATGGACTCTTTGAGATGTTGATGTTGCCTGGGGCCTGATGGTAAGGCATGCGATCAAAGTACCACAGCAGGCTGAACAGTTTCAACATATTCTCTATTGAGTAGGGACTGACAGTACTAGGTACGAGTAAAACTTAGTCAGGCGTCTCTTATCGTACCTGTCGGTAGTGCCTCCTTGTAAACATCGCAGGGCCCCACGTATGTAAATAGTGCCTACTTGGGGGTCTTAAATCCCAAAATAGTATATACCTACTTTGGGCTATTGGAGTCTCAGGATAACTACAACCACACCCTAAACCCTAAGCCCCTACCAGCACCCCCAAACTACCCTCTATTTTCCCAAAATACCCTCTATTGAGGACTATACGGGCTCTATTAAAGGGTAGTTGGCGGGTGCTGGTAAACCCCTAAACAATTCTCCGGTGCCTGGTTTGGCTCCTCTCCTACTATAGGGCCCTTGATATTTAGAATAGGGTTTAGGGGTATATTCTACTACAATTATAACAAGGCCACTCAAAATACTAAGGAACCCCAAAAATAGGAAAACACAAGAAGACAAAATAGTATTGGCACTTACTCAATAATCATCTCGGCTCGTCTCCAACTCTATAATTAAATCGTACCTACTTTGGGCCACTTGGAGTTTGAGGGTAACTACAACCCCGAAAAAGTTCTCCGGTGCCGGGTTTAGGGTTTAGGGCCAGGGTTCTAGGATTTAGGGTTTAGGACTTAGGGTTCTGGTTTGGCTCCTCTCCTAGGCCTCCGGGGTCTTCGCTTCAGCGAAAGGGCTGGTAAGAGAGAGGCCAAACTCCTCCTTGGCGCCCTCGCACGCCTGCGCTTCGCAATGAGGGCCCTAGGGCTTCGGGGTTTAGGGTTTAGGGGTTTGGGGTTTAGGGTTTGGGGCCTCATAGGGTTTACGGTTTAGGGTTCGGGGGAATTTAAGGGTGAGCGCTGCTGTGCATGGTTGTGGAAGGGGCCGGGATTAAGAGCACCTTATCCAGGGGATCCCGTTGAATCGCGATACCTGTTTTTTTTTTTTCAACCCCTTCTCAGAATAAAAATTATGGCAATTATCCAGCTGAAAGAAAGGGAGGGTTCCTCAAACAGAAAGGGATATGAACGTTTAGATTGCTTGTGGAGGTTGGGGTCTGGAATAATACTTATACAGAATCTGTCTGCAAATCTCATTTCTTGATCTGAAAATATGTGAAGTACAGTAGCTTGCTTTGCCAGTAACCAAGATATGATGCAACGTATACACTCACACGCTTCCACCGGAGCCCGATGTGCCATCACTACCTGCCTGACATAAACCTACTCAGAAAGTGAGCAGAATAGTCGTTGGCTCAACAGCGAGGGGGTCGCTTATTTGGCATCTTCCTCCGGACCATCGCCTACAGCAACCAACTCCTTGCTTTTAGGGTTTAGAGTTTAACAACCTCCTGCTTCCCGATTTGTCGGAGCTGTGGCCTTTCAGTCACTCCATGGCCAGAGATTAAGGATGGAGCTGAAAGCGAGGATGAATATCTAGATCGTTCTTGGCCTACTGCCGATGCAAATCCACGGCTCCCCCCCCACTCCGCCCAGCCCCAGCAGAAGACCCAAACCCTCTTAGTAGCCCCAACATCGCCTACAACCCAAACATCTCAAAGCGAACTTGCATTCCGAAATCCTGTGACCTAAACCTTCAACCCTGACGCCCTAGTGTCTGGGCTTTTAGGGTCTAGTTTGGGGCCTAGAGTCACAACATTCCTCGGACCTCAACCCTAGCTCTGAAGTAAACCCTACAACCCTAAACCCTAAACCCTACAACCCTAAACCCTAAACCCTACAGCCCTGAACCCTAAACCCTGCAGCCCTGAACCCTAAACTCGTAAAACCGACAACAAGCCCAAACCCTGCTAAGCCCTACTACACACCCAAACCCTGCAACTATCAACCCTAGACCCCAAACCTATACTGAACTTAGAAAAAGAGGGTTTAAGATTTCAGGGTCCTGTGAGGGTTCGGATTATAAGGGGCCCTTAACTATACTGAACTTAGAACCCTAGCAAAAACTATAATTCTAGCTGTTTCTTAGGGGTTGTAATGACAAAAAATTGCAAGTATTTCTAAGTATCCCTAAGAAACCCTAAACCCCTAAACCCTGCAACCCTAAACTCCCGGTGCCAAACTGGACCTCAGCCGAGCCGACGACGCAGATTCCGCCCTTCTCCTTGAACAGCGTTTAAGGTTCATGAGTTCATGGGGCTTAGAAGGATCGATATGGTTTCATGAGGACTTATAATGTTTGTAAGCTTTTATAAGGCTATAGGGCTTAGAGGGATGCTTGTTGGGATTTATGAGGTTCTTTTGTGTTCATCATGGTTTAGGGTTCATAGGGGCTTAGAGGGAACAACACGGGTTGCATGAGAATATAGAATTTTCATAATGGTTCAAGATGTGTTTTCCAGGGTCGCTGCATGCTCTTTTCGACCTTCCGCAGATTCGTTCGTACCGGGGGGGGAAGCATGTGAAATGCCGGGATTCGAGCAAACTTACGTTCTCGCGTTTGGAGTTTAAGATTAAGCTTTCTGGTCCTGAAGCCTCTGAATGCCGGAACGGGCCACGACAAACCAAACCACGGGGGGGGGGGGGGGGGGGGGTGTTGCTGTAAAGACACGTCGAATTCGAATTAATATCGGGGCCTTTAATAATCATAATCGGGTTTTGCGGTACAGTACACTGTAACCAAGACTGTGATAGAGACCCCAAAATAGCATGGGCAGTTCTCTAAATTAGGGACCCTAAAACATAATTTGTAATTCTTGAGACTACTTTATTATCGGACTTCTCTGCCGAGGCACCACCACAGGCTCCAGGGATGCGGCAAAGCTGCGGAAGTCCTCCAAGAGTCAAGGGGTTAAGATTGGGCTGCAGCCGGTTGTATTATCTGGTGAACATGTTTTAAGTTTACGGCTTTGAAAGGATCGCCGGAGGTGTATAGCTTGTGGGATTTGTGTGCGAGTGGGGTTGGTAAAACTGTTTGCTGGATCGGTAAGAGCGTTATACCACATTCAAAGCTCAAAAGATTTCTTGATTTTCGGACACAATCTCTAGGCATATTAGCCGTGGTCCCAACCACCCAGCAAAAAGTACCTAAGCCCCAAACCCCAAACTCGAAACTCACAACAACCTGAAACCCCGAGAGATAGAGTAGCCCTGGTCCGAACTGCCTCACGAAAGCGCAAAAAACCCTAAACCCGAAACCCTAAATCCTAAACCCGAACCCTAAATCCTAAATCCTAAACCCGAAATCCTAAATCTTAAACCCGAAACCCTAAATCCTAAACCCTAAATCCTAAACCCTGAATACTAAACCCGAAACCCTAAATCCTAAACCCTAAGTACTAAACCCTAAACCAAACTCTGAACCGCGGTTTAGCGGCCTCCACCTTGGTGCCCAAGATCTCGTCTCGAACCCTCTGCCGGTAGGTGTCGTCCTCACCGGAAGCGGCTGAAGGTTTAGGGTGTAGGGTCTACTTGGAGGGTCGGGGGATTTAGTAAGTAGGTAGTAAGTAGACTTATAAGTACCCTAAAAGGGACCCTAATTGGGGTTATGGTACTTATAAGTCCCTAAAATAACCAGTTACTAAGTCCCCCGACCCTCCAAGTAGGGTGCAGGGTGTAGGGACTAGGGATTAGGGTTTATATAATTAGGGATTAGGGTTTAGGGGTTATAGGGTTTAGGGATTTTAGGGTTTAGGGTCTAGGGTGTAGGTTTTCGGGTCTAGGGTTTGGGGTGTTGGGGTTTAGGGTGCAGTGTTTAGGGTTTAGGGTGTAGGGTTTAGGGCAAGTTTATAGCCGAGCTTGAGGAGTGAAAACTCAGTCCAGGGAGTCCCCAAAACACCCAAACCAAACCCGCAAACGCTGCAAAACTTAGCCGAAAATACCGTAAACCCTAAACCTCAAACCCTAAACTCTAAACCCTTAAACCCTCTATATACATATATATATATGTATATATACACACACACACCCTTATATACCCTTTATACCCTTATATACCCTATAACACTATAACTTGCAAACCTTAAACTCAACTCCGCCCCGCCCCGGACCTCTTCCAGGAGGTAGCGCAGCATCGACTGGTAGCCCTTGGCCTGGGTATGGTCTTGAGGGTTGCGGGTGTAGGGTTTAGGGTTTAGGGTTTAGAGTTTAGTAGAGTTTAGGGTTTAAGGTTTAAAGTTTAGGGTTTAGAGTTTAGGGTTTAGGCCTTCTTGAGGGTTGTGGGTGTACCCTATGCCTCCAGGGACCTTATTATGGGGTCCTTAAGGGTTCTAGGGCCCTAACTATGAGGTCCCTGAGGGATAGGGGTGCGACGATAACCATGAGAGCTACAAACCGGTGAGTACAAGGGATGCTCTTAGGGCTGCTATGACGCTACGAGCCGGGTCCGAATAAGGGTCCGAATGGCTATAGGAGGGTTTAGGGTTTAGGGTTTAGGGTTTAGGGTTACACTCACACGCACACACACACACACACCACACCACAGCAGTGGACACCAATCTAGAAACCCTACCACCTACATGTATGCACTTAGGAATCGCAAGGTAAGGAACTTGCCGGCTCGTGTACATTTTTGTTCGCTTGAATGAGCCATGGCATGCTATTGCTGCTGTGTTTGGGCTATAGGGTTGAGTTGCGGGCTTGAGAAAATATCAACAGTCATGAGTGTAGTGCATAAAACCTATGTTCCCGTATTGATGATTGTTTTCGCTCCCCCCTTGATGTAACATAGGCAGAGTGGCATCCGGCAGCAGGTAAGCATCGATGTCTCCCATGCAGCCGATGATGGCCTCCAGTGTCCAGGGTTGTATACGTTTCGAGGTTTGGGATTCGATGGTCGTATAAGGGCTCTACAAGGATACTAAAGGGGTGCTATAAAGGTCGTACTCGTGTCAGGGTTCTACAAGGGTTCTGTCCGGGATTCAACCTGTCACCCATCGTATCGCGGATCGGTGCCTGGTGCCTCCGATATCTAGCCATCATCCACAACTCTCTGGAACTCTTCGTAAGGCCTAAACCCTAAACCCTAAACCCTACTGTGGGTTACAGGGACTACTACAACAAGGGACCTCAGGGGACTAGCACAGGGGTCCTTTCCCCATTCCCTTCTAAACACCACCCAGAGGTCGCAAAGTCGTTCCTTTTTGGGGTTCATATATAGATTCCTATACGGTAATCCCAAAAAGGAACTACTTTGGGGCCTCTGGGCAGAGAGACAAGGCTGCGATGGCGAGTCGGGCACATGAGGCACAAAACCTTCTCGGCCGAACTGCTTCGCCCATCCCCTCAAACAGGTATTGCCCGCACTACACCACACGTCCTTTGTCTGGTATGTCTAGACTTCGAGGTGACAAGGCTTAGAGAATCCGGGGATGCCATTTGCAGAACACATACACAAGCCTCAAGGCACCCCGAAACCATAAACCCCAAAACCCAAAACCTCAACGAAGCCCTCGCAAGCCTTCGTCAGCTCGTCCTCGCCGAGATCGAGATCCTTCCTTAGTGGTCGGGCTGAGTTCGGAACCTGGGCCTTTGTGGGTGTAGGGTTTAGGGGGCTTGGGGGTTTACATAGTTAGAGTTTGGGGTTCTGCGCCGAGGCATCGCAATTTGGGGGTTCCTGATTATAGAAATAGTACCATGGGCCCAAAAGCCTATTCTAATTGTTGGGGTTCCTTAGTATAGTTGTAGTACCATGGGCCCCAACAGCCCAAACCAATTATTCAGGCCTCCCACAATTTCTAGGAGCGCTTGTCAACCCTCTACAAACCTCGCAAGGCGACACAACACGAAACACCTCAAGCCCTCTCTAATATAACAGACCAAAACGTAACATACCATGTAGAACATAACAACGCGCAGCAGAACACAACATATTATATACATATATATATATATACAGTATAATGTAATTCTCAACACAGATAGTAACTGAACTGTCAAAAAATTCAATAGACCGGCCAGGATGCAGGAAGGCTGGGGCTCCGTCATAGGCCTCCAGCGTCTTGCCGAGGTTTGGATCCCGGTAAGACAGGTACCTGAGAGTCGCTTCAGGGTCGCTGAAAAGTTTTGGGATTTAGAAATTAGGCTCGAGGATCGTTTGGGATTTAGAGTTTAGGATTTGGGGTCCAGGGTTCGGGTTTCAGGGTTTTGGGTGTAGGGTTAGGGGTGTGGGGCTTATAGGGTGTAGGCTTAGGACCTGAGCTCTTCTCAAACATCCCTTACTTCGGGACTTGGATGGGAGCTGCAAAAGTCGTCACATTTTGTATATGATAGGCGCCATAATCATGGGGGGAAGAAAATACACAGCGATATGCCCTACAAACTACCCATAGGCCCCATAGTAGTTCCTTGTTGGGATTACCTTATAGGATTCTACATATGAACCCCCAAGAGGGAATTACGATGGGGCCTATGGCTCCAGCTTGGGCCTGGGTTTTCGAAACCAAACCTTGAGCCGGGTATTCAGCTGAAGCCCCTGACCCTATACCCTCAGCCCCTATGGCTGGCGGGTTGACGGTCTCGCCTGGGGTCAAGGATGGGTTTAGGGTTTATGGCATCCGGAATGGGGATGGAATGGGTTTTTGGGATCTGGGAACCCTATTTCGTTCCATAAAAGAGCCTTTCTAAGATATTCTAATACGGACAAATGCTGATATCAGGAACGCTGAAACTCGAAGCAATCTTAGTAGTTCTTTAGGCCCGTGTATTAATTACATGTTATCGTATATTGATACAAATGCTCGCGGAAGCGGAATGTGAAGGAACATTGATATCAAGGAACCCTCACCCAGAGTATTGGTAGCTAACCCTACACTCTAAACCATAGACCGTGCAGTTACTAAGGCTTCTATAGCCTACTTGTCCAGATTCCTGGGGACAAAAGGTTAACCTTTGGGAGTATATTGGAGTAGTATAGAGATTACGGTACCCCAAAGGGTGAAAGGCTACCTACTGTACTACCAGGTTACAAATGCTTCGAGAGTACTTGATATCATACGAATATTACGAGTATCATTATGATTCTGGTCATGACTATTCTGTTATTGTTACATAGTATAATACACAGAACCAAGGCTGCTCTACAGTATCGGAGCTGCTTGAAGTCGCCACTCCTCGGGTCGAAGCGGCAGAGGCCGCCGTAGGCGCCTCCGCTCACGCGGACCTGAACATAGATGATGCGGGGTTAAGCGTTTAGGGTGCAGAGTTTTTGGGGGTTTAGGGTGTAGGGCCTAGTTTAACGGTTTAGGGTTCAGGGTCTCAGGGTTTCACGTGTTCTAGGGTTTGGGGTAGGTAGTAATAGGGTCGATCAGGGTTTAGGGTTGTTTAGACTTTTATGGTGTAGGGCCTATGGTACTAGGGCTCAGGGCACTCGGGCTTGGGGTTGCGGGCAATGTTGAGATTCGAAACCAGCGCCATGGTTTGTATGGCTGCTTCTAATCGTCGGCACGTGGTACTAACCCTCTCACGAAACCTCAGGACAACTGAGCTGGTGTTAGCCCTTCAGAATATAAGCGGGCGTAGAATCGCCTAATTAAATCCTAAACTTAACCCGAACTATTAAAATCCTTGCTTGGAGAATCCTCAATTGAGGGAACCCTACTAAAAGCAAACGATCGCTGACCCCGGCCCCAGACCTCACATCCTACTTGGAGGGTCGGCGGACTTAGTAAGTAGGTAGTAAGTAGACTTATAAGTACCCTAAAAGGGACCCTAATTGGGGTTATGGTACTTATAAGTCTCTAAAATAACCAGTTACTAAGTCCCCCTAAACCCTAAACCCTATACCCTTACAGAATCCCTATAGATCCCTTTAAGGGGGCCCTTAAGGAACCCCCTAAGTCCCCTAAAGACCCTCCAAGTCCCCAACGCACTTTCATGCCATCTCTCAGTCCGCCAAATAGGGCAAAGTCTTCCACAAGCACACGGGGAAAAAAAACAAAAACAAAGCTCCGCAGGAAGATCCGAAGTATAATTCCATCACCTAGCTGCCCCCCAAAAAAACCACAACCTCAAAGGACAGTCGAAATGCTCAAACTCTCAGGAACAGCAATGCTAACCATGTCGTTATATGTTGTCGCCTCTACTTCTTTCTCCTGTACAAGCCCACTAGTTGCAACTGTGCAAAATATAAACATGACCCAGTGCTTCCCTTGAATGGGGAGTGAGGGCCGCTTAAGCAAGCGCCTCATGATCAATGTTCTGACAGATGGCTTCGCTGTCCATTTATGTCTGTTTCTGGTTTAGGGTTGCAAGTATAAGGGTTTAGGAAGTGGGTCAATGTTTCACATTCCGTACCTTCGAAATGTCAAGGTGCTTCCCAAACTCAACATGTATAACACCGGGCAGGTGGTGTAATCGTTGTTGTATCTTTCGAGCATCCCATCACCAATGCCGCTACCAGATTTAAGCAGTCTCTCTCTCTCTCTCTCTCTCTCTCGCTCTCTCCCGAAACCCTAAGCCCTCTCTCGCCCAAAGTCGATGCACTGTATCGACATCACCTTCATAGGCTGCTGGGTCGGCGTCTAAACGCTCATAAGATAACTTTTGGGATCAGGGATTAGAGTTGGGGCTTCGGGGCTTTTAGGAAACCCTGTTCCAAACCTTTGTAAGCCCCGAAAAGCGATCCCTAAAAGCGGACCGCGAGTGAGGGACCTTGTCCCAGAGGTAGGTGGCTCCCAGCAGCTTGGACCTCATTGCCCCCGAGACTAGCGTCGCAGCATTGACACAAGTTGAGGTCAGCGAAGCTTCATAGATTATTACGGCCTTGTAGGGTTCAGAGCTTTGAGGTTTAGGATTTTGGGATGTTTTCGGTTAAGGTCAAAGGCTCTTGAACCCCAGACTCATAAATAAACCCGTAAATGAACCCTGGACAATTAGTGCTCTAGGAGGCATTAAAGGTCTCTGGTAAGCTGTGTGGTCCCCTAAAGAACTCGCAAACTGGAGCTTCGCTTGACTGCTGTAAAGAAAGAGAATCGATATGCCGTGTTCTTTCAGTGAAGTTTAGGCTTTAGGGTTACTTGGAGGGTCGGGGGACTTAGTAAGTAGGTAGTAAGTAGACTTATAAGTACCCTAAAAGGGACCCTAATTGGGGTCATGGTACTTATAAGTCCCTAAAATAACCAGTTGCTAAGTCCCCCGACCCTCCAAGTAAGGGTGCAAGGCTTCGGCCCCGATGTTGTTCGATGAGCGAAATTCAACGACTTGCCCCAGACTGCAGGCCTCCATGGCTTTAGGGCCTTAGGGTTTACCTTATAACCCCAAATCAGCTACCTTTTTATGGACTTGTATCAGGAAGTCATATTAGGCGACGCTAAGAGGCAGGTGTCTTAGGGTCCTGGCAGGGCTTCAGGATTTAGGCGTCTGCCCCTCCCTTGGGAGCTTCCTAAAGCTCTACGCCCTAACCTTCGATCTGGAACTGCCGAAGCCACACCCCAACCCTCCGCCGCACCATGAAACTACACTTGGGTTTGGGGTTTAGGGCAGGGTAGTCTGGGACCAACGCTCGCCCAAAGTTCTCAAAATCCTCAACACCAGCCCAGAAACTCCAACATACCCTAAAATCAGGGTGCCAGACCCACAACACCCTGAATCTTCAAAACAAAACCTCATACAACTTTACATTACTTCGGTGGAAACCAGCTAAAACCCTAGAAGGCACGATCGGGCCGAGGATCACTACCAAAGCAGATCCATGGAACTCGTAGCCGGTCTCGTAGAGATTTCCGCCCTTGCCGACGTAGTTCACCTGCTTCTGGTTCAGGAGGAGGCAGACAAAAACCCAAACGCTCAGGTTATGACCCCTCCATTACAGGGTATGACTCGGGCTAGGCTCAGGGCTCATCAGTCATCAGCCATACACACCCCTCGATTTCTAGACCCTAAACCCGAAACCCCCTAAGCCCTGAGCCCGAATTTCGAAACCCTACCTGGACCCATACTTGCCTACCTTTCTCTATACCACCCGTAGAACCATAATAAAAATATATAGCGTCATTAATATTCTCCTCGGCTTTGTATGATTCAAACAAAATTCCTACGGAGACTTTAGTTCGAGGGACGTAGCAAAGGAAATCAGGAAATCAGGGCAAGGAGCCGTAACTTAGGGGCCGAGTACCCTAGCCCAAAAAAGGTTAACCTTTTGAGTTATAGTAGGATTCTATAAACCCCAAAAGGTTAAAGGTTACCTACTCAGCTACTAAGGTAAAGAAGACAAGATTTCCAGGGTCCGGGAGAGCCCCAAACCCCAAACCCACACCTGAGTAGGCCTCAACCCGAAACCCAAAAACCCCAAACCTTCAACCCTAAACTCCTAAAGCCCTAAACCCAAAAACTCCAAACTTCAAAACCCTAAACCCAAAAATCCAAAAGCGCAAAGCCCTAGAAATCCTAAACCCGTAAACTTGAACTTATAAACCCTAAACCCTTAAACCTAAACTCTAAACCCCAAACCCGCACCTGCGTAGGCACGATGATGCCGTCGGCGCGGCGACCCAGGGTCGGATCGAGGAGCCTTTTTGGTCTAACCCCCAAGGGTCCAAAGGACCCAATAATTAGGGTTTAGGGTTCTTTTAAAGGGGTCTATAAGGGGCGACTATGAGGGTTCTAGAATATAGGGGCCTAATAATTAGGTACCCGGCTTTAGGATAGCAGTTCTGTAGGTTAGGATTTCGGAGAGTAATATGATTATTGGGTACTTGGACCCTTGGGGTAACTGCTGGGACTTCGGATGGAGGGCTCAAAGTACAGGTTTCACAGTTTTCTGTAGGGCTTTCGGAGCTTTGTAGGGTTTAGGGTCTGGGGGTCTTAGAGTCTTGCGGGGTTTGGGGAAAAGGGCTTTTTGGTGTTTAGGGTTTGTGTTTTGGGGGTTCTGGGGCATAGCCCTAAACCCAACCCTGTAAAGCCCGAATTCTATACACTATGTAGGTAGGCCTTAAGTTTATTAAGGTGCATAGACTCTATGCTCGACAGAGCATGAACGAGCTCCAAAAACTTTCTGAGCACTTATAGCCTAAAAAGCCCTGTAGTTCCGCCCACCACAAACCCTGGATGCCCTAAGCCCTGTAAACCCTAAATCCCAAGCCCCAAACCCCTCACGGCCTAAGCCCTAAACCTTTGAACCCTGTAAGTTACAGGGTTCAGAGGTTTAGGGTTTAGGGGCTTTTAAACCCTAAAGCCCAAAACTCCAAGCCCTATAACCCCTAAACCCCTAAACCCTAAACCCCTAAACCCTTAAATCCTAAACCCTAATCCTCTGAACCCCCACGCCCTACCCATAGGCCCCAAAGTAGTTCCTTTTTTACCAAATAGGATTCTATATATGAACCCCAAAACGGAACTACTTTGGGGCGTCTGGGTAGTATAATGGGCACCAAAACCCTATTCTACAGTAATTCTTCAGGCCCCTATATCATAGTACCCTTATAGATCCCTTACTTACAGTATCCCTTATAGACCCCTTTAAATTTAAAGGGAACCCTATTCCCTCGAAGCCTAAGGCAAACTCTGGAGCTAAGCAGCACCGGGCTGCTCCCCTCATCGGCCGGCAGGTTTGCCGTGAGGGACTCCAAGGTTGCCTTTCTGGGCTTTTTTTTAATGAAGTTAGTTTAGGGTTTAGGGTTTAGGTTTTTTTTTGAACTCCTTGTCTCCAGAGCCAGCAGTCTGATCTCTAGAAAGGCTTGCACGGCCAGGACAGCTAGGCTGGGCGTTTTTTTTAATGAAGTTACTTTAGGGTTTAGGGTTTAGGGTTTCTATTTTAAGGAAGTTAGTTTAAGCTAATGTTTTAAGGAAGTTAGTTTAGGCTAATATTTTAAGGAAATTAGTTCAGGCTATATTTTAATGCGGTTAGTTTAGGCTATATTTGAATGAAGTTAGCTTAGGCTATAGTTTTAATGAAGTTAGTTCAAGCTATATTTTAATGAAGCTAGTGTAGGGTTCATATAGGGTTTAGGAGTACGAGTTTAGGGTTTGGGTTATATGGGAGTTTCCGAAAATTAGGGGTGCCTTAGGCTCCTTTGAAAAAGCGTAATGACTATAAGGGTACCATAAGTGTTCCTTTAAAGCGCTCTAAAGGTTTGGGGATACTTATTTTGGGATCTTTACATTAAGGATCCTACTATTTAGGGTACCATATCAGGGTCCGCTATTTTCGAAAACTCCCATGTGTCAACGAAGTTGGTTTAGGGTTTAGGGTCTAGGGTTGAGAGTTGAGGATTTAGGAATTTAGTTGAGGGTTTAGGGTGGAGGGTTTAGGATGTTGTTAAAAAAAGTTAGTTTAGGGTGTAGGGTTTAAGGTGTTAAGGAATTCGTACGGGGTTTAGGGTCTCAGGGCATTTCGTTGGAGTAATAGGGATAGGCAGCATGTAATAAAGTTCAAGAGCACGATGACCGCTAGCTGAAACATGGAAAATTCAGATTGGCCTCGGGCGCGGGGCATCCAATACGCGAAGGACTTCATCGGCTGCGCAGGTCCCAAGGGTGATGGACTGGCCACGGAACCACACCATGCCGAGTGTGAATCCCTCGCAGCGTCCTTCCTTGGAAGCCACTGGTCAAGCGCTACTCTGCTACTAAGCAAGACAGGGCAACAGACATGATTTGTGGATAGGGTTTGAGATTAATCGATGTAACATGCAACCCGGCAGCAAGCAGCTTCTCGGCCTCCTCTTCAGCCTTGATGACGCCGCCGACATTGAACCCGCAAAACATCTGCTCAGCCTTAACTGTATGCTGCTTCCAGGCACGTCTTGTTTGAAGCTCAAGCATGGACGCAAAAATCCCAAGCTTAGCGTGGAACGGCTTGAACGGCGGCAACCTGCACTTTCTCCTTCACCCTCAGGGCCTTGATGAAGTATTTCGCGTTATCAATGAAGTCCTCGCACCTGTACCTCTTGTGCGCGTCCATCACCTGGACAACCCCCAACACCAAGGGCATTGGCTAAAATCCTACTGCACAAGCAGTCTCGCATGTGGCTTCTAGAACACAAATTCAACAACCTTTTCACACCCAGCCACAGCATGCGCCAGGACCGTGAAAATCAAGGCCACTTCCAAGTCCTTGTCGTTCTTGCTCTCCAGGGCGATTGCCGTTGCACGGCCGCTCATGTTTGCCTGCAAAGTTCTAGGTTCTCAGCACCCAACGGCGGAAGAAAACCCAAAAAACACATTTCAAAAAAATCATTGCCAAAGTCATCAACAACCCATGGACAAGCCCAAGCAAGAAGGACAGTTCGCTGCCAAGCGGCGACAATGCCCTTGACACTCCGCGTGACCTGCTGCGCGCAAAACTCCACAAAAGAGGCACCTTGGCTTACGCAGCTGGCGCTTTGATAGAGCTACAGCTACGGCAGCATACAAGCTTTTAGCACAGGCTGACCTTCCAAACCAGACAAGAGGCAACGGTCTGCGCAAATCGGCCACTCGGTCTCGTAAGGGTTGAGGCCGGTCAAGGCCTTGACTGAGAGCGCCTGCGAGCATAGAAAAGGTGGAACTCAGGCCACACTACAGACGAAGCTCAACTTCACACAGCTCACGAATCGGTCCTCCCATTTGTAGGCATCAACGTATGGCTGGAAGAGCTCCAAGAACTCAACGAGCTTCTTTTGCTTCGTGAGCTCGTTGTCATCTCCATCGATATCACCTCAGACAAGACTTGTGCTCTGCACTGGGCCTGACCAGAGCAAGGCGGCACCGTCAATCAGTTGACTTGAACCAGACGAGCCACCGCCAGCCATTGCTGTGTTCAGCAAGCCCTTGCGGCTGAGGAGAATGGAGGTGCGTGGCAATGGGCCCGAGTAATCGCTGGGCGGCTCCACGCCCTCAAAACCAGGGACATCAAGACACGCACTGCGTGCACCAGCCCAACAGAAACTTTATCAATCCAGCCTCAAGAACGCACATGTCCCGAGGGCTGTGGCAAGGATAGCGCCACACCTTGAAGGAAAAGAAATTCAGCACGGGCACTCGCTGAAGACATTAGGCAGGCAAGGGGACTGACGTAACCACGAACAAACAAAGGAACTAATGCTTAAAAGCGGCCGCCATCTTACCGGTGATCAAATTCACGCCGTCTGTGACGATGCACTTGTCCGCGCCCAGGTCAAAGTCGAAGGCACAGAGCGCTTTGACTCTGGCTGCAACGTCGTCCCTTAGGCTGCAACACTGGTGGCTCACTGCGTCTGCAGGTTCACAGTGATTTTCTGCAAGCGCAATAAGACACACTGCAAACCAAAAGTGACGCAGCATGTTTGAACCTGAAGACATGGCCACATGAGTGACGCCGCGCCAGACGAGGGACTTGACGCATGCGTCGGCGGAGGCCCGGGTGCCATTCTTCAGGGCAAGGATCTCCTCGTCGCAACCTGCACGTGTAAGAACAAAATCACCAATGGCCGACGCACACAACCCTAGCACAGTAGTAAGATCATTTGATTCTGCAATCGGGAGTGGGCACCTTGCTCGAGAAGTTCTCGCAGAGGGGTTTCCTCGGCCTCTGCCTCACAACCGTTGCGATAAGAGGCTGCACATGTTGCAGGCACGCGAAAAAAAATCTGGGAAATTTCGGCCACGATGCATCAGGCACAATGGTGACGTCGATGGTCGACGCTGGCACCCGCGGCAGGCTGACACACTCCTCGCGGTCCACTGGACTTGCGCTGACACACATGTCCTCCCTGACCAACATAAACGCAGCACGCCACTCTGGTTTTCGCGAGCAGCAAATCATCACAAGAGCCCTTGCAAACTACATAGTGCGACGTTGCGACTTGCCATAGCACTCGGAGGAAGGCAAAATGCACGCACACAAACAATTGCACTTTCATTCGTTTTCATCACAATCAACAACCCCTCACATCTACTTTCCGCATCGTTGGATCCAGCTGCATCTCTATACTTTGCAGTAAACCCGCGCAAATGCATCGCCCAAGCAAGTGGCAGGCACTGGTCTAAGACGAAGGTAGTATGCGCAACGTAAGAAATTCCTTGAATAATTGTCAAGAAGTCTGGGTGAGAAAATAGCACAACAATGTGCAACTTAAGGCTAAGGGGCACCTGAATTTTGGAGAGAGCCCAGTCCTGCTGGCCAAGGCTGGCTTTGCGCAGGACCGTTTGCGTCTGTTGACGGCAGGATGTCAGAATCTCCTCCAAAAGGCTGGCAGCGGAAGCACCTTTGCAGCCCCACGAACTGTGAACTGTCACTGACCCTCGCAACCTGCACATCCCACGCTTTGAAACAATAGCTCTACTGCGACAACGCTGACTTAGGCCCAAGCGTGCAGACACGTGTTCCGGGCTGGTAGGTATGAGCTCTGACCGCATGTTCAAGGTCGCCCACAAAGACGCTGAGAGGCCTGGCAGCAAACTTTACCCCGCCCTTCTATCTTCCTGCAAACTGCAAAATCATGATGCCGAGCTACACATTGCACCTCCAGCACAACACGCACGCCACATAAGCGTGCCCAACGCCCAAAGTACCCGAGAAACCCACTGAAGCACCTAGTCCCCAATCCTGCCTGGAGGCTTCCTCGCTCCATTCACGTGCTGCATCTTGTCAATGCCAACCTTGACATCGGGCGCAGCGGCCTGTCCCAATGAACAGTTAGACGCGAAACACCTAAGCAAGTTCCCAAATCCAAGCAAGGGCGCCGAACCTTCTGCAGCTTGGCGCACTTCTTAGGGACGAGGATCTCGTTCTGCCCCATCTGGGCGCTGATGCCCATCATGCCCTTGACCTTTCACAAGAAATTGATTGCTGTAACTCGTGCAGGAAATGCCAGGGCTCCGGACCAACAGCATCTCCGGCGGCGTCTCCGCAGCATCTGGCCCAACAGCATCGCCCTGAAATGCTTCGTAGCGCAGCAGAGTGACACATGTTGCTGAGACATACGGCACGCCTGGCCTGGCTGCCCCAATATGGCAACACGGCGCGGATCTGGGCCGGGTCATAAAAGCGCTCGCCACGTACCCAGAGACCCAACCTGCCAGAGCCGCGTGACTCCAGAAAAGCTCGTGAAAAACCGAACCTTGCCTTTCTGCAACGCCGATGCCGATCAACATCTGCCCGTCCAAGAAATTGACGTTCATCTTGCATCAGGGCTCGCTGCGCGCAAGAGTACAGTTTTAGGGTACAGGAACAAAGGCGCGAACGATATTCAAGTATGCCTCTGTTACGTGTAACCCACGGAAACTTTTTTTGCAGGGACACTGCAATCCCCAAGCAAACTTCACACTCCGCACGCCTCATTGGTGCTGGCTTCGCTAGGCAAGAGCGTGACGGTAAAGCCAGTCACGGAACGCGGCTCGCTGGGTGTCACCAGCAAGGGCATCCGGACGTAGGCCTGGCAGAAGCAAAGATTGCTCGCAGCTATTCATGGGGCACCTGACTATTCAAGGCATGTCCCACCCCAGCCTCTTGCATCAGACTGTATCTACTTAGAAGCCAGCGGGCAGTGGCCGACACCTCCAGCCTGTTCTGGGAGTAGTAAACTTATGAGACTTAGTAGACGCTGTTGCCCCCCCTGCCCAGCACTCCAGCCTGTTCTGGGAGTAGTAGGCGCTGCAATCCTCCCTGCCCAACACACCGACGAGCGTGGTTGAGTAGCCTTACACGACTGGAGAAAGAAACCCTGCATTTATATCAAGGGCAAAGAACACCGTCCACATAGCTGCCATAATGCTGCAGCCTTGGAACGGTCTCCAGGGACAATCTTCACCAGCTCCATGGGCTTAAAGCTGTAAAACTCCGGGCCGAGCTTGGCGAAGTCAACCTTGTACAGGCTGCCAAGCTCGCGGCCCAAGCAGCACTGGCTGCAGGTCTCCGGGAGGGCGAGCCGATAGCCATCCTGGAGAAATACCTCAGAAAATTACGAAGAAAGCAGAAAGACTATTCGCAACAGAACTCAAAAGAAAGGCCTCGCGCGCTTTGACCACATCTGCCACTGTGCGCTTTTGGAAGCACGGATCCTTCAGCACCACCAGGTGTTTGAGGTTCGCTCGCGGAAGAAAGGATTGGCACCAGGTAGCGGTCCTTGAAGGCATACAGCGGCAGCGAGCCAATGACGCGCCGCAGCACGTCTGGCTCCAGAGCCAACAGTTTCCTGATCACCTCAGCAGAAAGGCAACAGACTGCGACCTCAGTAGAATGCTGTAGCTGCTGAGGTCCAAGCATCAGAGGTGCTGCCCACCTTCATGTGCTTGACCCGGAGGAAGTCGACCAGAACTGACTCCTAGCACGTCGAATAAAATCGTAAGCACGCCGGTTAGATAACAACGTATCTGCAACGCAACCAGATGAAAAAAAGACGTGCTTGCACCAGGATTCGTCTGTTGAAATGTAGCAAGGCAGCTGCAGTGAACCGAAGTTGCTGCAAGTGTCCTGCACCCGCAACCTGGAGGACAGTTCCCGGTTGGAATTTGCGCCTGGGAACAATTTTTGCCGGGAACAAGGCCAACTAGTTTTCTAAAATGACGTCAATTGTTCCCGGGAACTGTTTCTTGGGGTCACTTCAGAAAGACAGCCGTAACGGCTTTGACATGGGTGATCTCGCAAAACCAAACGATCAAAACCTAGTCCTTAAACATGGTAAAAGGTTGTTAACCGTGTGGGCTCCGCTACCAACGACAGGCATGCCATGATCCCAATGTATACATGACGGCCTTAAACTGCGTCTGCCAAAGATATATAATCTGGGGGGCGAGCCAAACAGACATAAGGCCATGGAATCTTTAAGCATCGACACATAAAATTGGATCCTGCCATATATAACTGGTGACAACCGGCCATGGAGAAATCCAGCAGCACATGCAATCGAGCCAAAATCGGTCGTTCCCTCTCTCTCTCTCTGCTTAGGTTTAGGGTTTAGGGGTATATATGGTTATAACTTATAGGGTTAGGCATGCATGTATCAAATATTTTCTGTATATATATATATATATATATATATATATATATATATGAGATCGAATGCACGTGAGAAGGAGACCGATCGACGAGAGAAGAATATAATACGTACAGGAGCAGTATAAGTTTTTGTGTTTTCCTGGGAAGGAGACCGATCGAGGAGAGAAGAAAGGAATGGAGGAATGGAGCATTTGCAAACATCTCCTCGGAACTGCAATGCATTGCAATGGGATCCACTCTTTTTTCACTCCCGGGCTAAGTGTGCATTCAGCTGCATCTCGAGCCTCTGCAGTAGTCTGAGGCCGAGTGTACTAGGGTGAACCGCCTGGGATTTCCCTATCGCGCAAACTTTGCCGATCCAGCTCTCGTCGCTCCAACAAGAGGTCAGCAAAGGATTAAGGCGGCTGCCGCCGTGTATTTTGAGGATGACTTCGCATAGAAATGAATGGACCCTTGGCCGCACTTTGTACCTTGCCCTGGCACTTAGCAGGGCTGCTCTCGCCAGAAAAATGTGGGCACGTACATAGCAAAGGCCACACTCAACCATCTGTGATGCTTCGGTCTCGTTGAAAAAGAGCCCTGCTTTGTCCATCGTGATGCCCACTTGCGTCACGGCCCAGGCACACGTCGCAGGTACTTTAAGCTCTTCCACCTGTGTATCCTCAGCTGCATGGGTCCACTGGTTTTGAAGCTTTCAGTCAAGACCTGGAATTGTTCTTGATATATATTGCAATCTAAGCTCCTGAAGAAAGGCGGCAGCGAAAGCCAGTCCAACCCGGTTGCTCCAGCCTTTTGAAAAACCCAGCGGAAAGTCGTATCGCAGGGCATCCACTGAGAGCTTCTGCAAGCCTTTTGGGCACAGGGGCGGCCAACAGTTAACTGCAATGCGTTTCTCTGTATATTCCAAAAAAACATAACAAATCCGAGTGGCTGAGTTCGTCTATGCATGAACGATCCAAGTTATTCTCTGAAAACCAATCGTGCATTCGCGAGCATAAGGCTTGCAGCCCCTCTTCCCAGGGGAGGTCGCGAAATTCGGGGTGGAATTCCACTATGTCCATCAAGACGGATCCCAATGTGTCTTTCGCCGGCCCCAGCCACAGATTGTGGAGCGTATCGGCCTGCTCCATGTCGGCATGGTAGCCTGGAATGCTTCGGAGAGGAAGCGTGCTCGGCATCGAAGCATCCAGATGCTGTTGCACAAGTGCTGGTTCGTACCAGCTCAAGTTTTTCGCATCCAGCCAGTGCCGGCACTCCACATCGCTCGTGCAGCGACAGCGACGGCAAAAGGTTCGTCCCGTGGTAGGGTTCGTTCTGAGGTTGGTATAATCATGAAGTTCCTGCAGCCACTCCGCCTTCCATTTCCAATCTCCTCGGCCGCAGCAGTACTGAAGTGTTGTGCCGTTTGGCAACGAAGTCGCTGCCGGATCGCTGCATTTACGAAGAGAATTCGCAAAAGCTCTCTGGAGGCTCTCCAGCGTGAGGTTCTTGCCGTTATTGTCGTATGCAAAGTGGGCAGACCGAATCACCTAGCTATGCTTTTCGAGAGGTCATGCACAAGTCTTCAGCAGTGCTGTATCAAGCATGCACATGTAAATTCAACCAAGCATCTGCAAAAGGTAGCTTGTAATGGAGGACATTCTTTCCACGAATGCCCAGACAGCTCCAGCTGAGCACGAGGACGGAGCGTTGTTTCTTTCCCTGCCCCTCGTCCCCATGCACAGCGATCGCGTGAGCTTTGGCCTTCTGGTCCTCCGTGAAGGCTTGCACAGGGTGGGACCTGC